GCCACGACAAGGGCGTAAGGCCCTCTGTTCAAATAAGAAGTACCTTAAACTCATTGTGGAGGGCTCCCGAAAGATGAAGCATACCAAGCAGATTATCACATGGCCCCCGACGGGAGCATAGGGCTCTGAATCGAAGCACCAATAGCCAATGCACAGAGCCCCCGAACAATTCAGTGCGGCCGAAAAAACGAACGGAGCGGTCCCATTCCAGTATGACGTACCTAAGACCCAATGTAGAGGGCCCCCGAACGATCGAATGTGCCCGAGCAGCTTATCAGAAAGGGCCCCGACAAGAGCGTGTCGGTAGATTAACCGAGACCAACGTGAGGGAACCCTGAGCAACCAAGAATACCCCGCCAGGTTAAAGATGTGAGGCCCTGGCTATAGCCCACAGAGGCTTTCTTGCGAATGGAAAGAATCCGTGGAAGACCTATGATTGATAAGAGCGCTTCGACACGCTAGGAGGAAAAGTGCAGGGCCCTCCGAGCAACCGCAAAAAAATCAAGAACAACATGGAAGGCTCCTGCACGATCGAAATGACCCTGCAAGTAGGCATATAGGCCCCCGGAAACAGCACTGAAAGCTCCTTCGTGATCGAAATGATCTTGCAAGTAGGCATATAGGCGCCCGGAAACAGCAAGTAGATTGTAGATGAAATGGGGCCCTAAGCTTGCATTAAGATGGCTAATCGATGTTCGTCTTAAAATGTGTAAGATTCAGACAAAATTTATGACAGATAAAAAACCATGAAATATTGTTTTGAACACACGGGCTCACAGGCCATGGCAACAGCTGCCTGAACGCCCAGTGTTGCAGTCTCCATAGGTCGCGTGGCCTCGGCCTGCGGCTGTGACACTAAACGATAGCCAATAAGCAGAAGATGACGCATCTTGAGGAACATGGCTGGTGGACTGGGTAAATCGGCATGTATATCTAAATGTTGTGCAAAATAAGCCAAACACAACCTTAATCTGGAAAGTGGGGGCGGGGGCCAATTAACAATGCTAGCCTCTCCACCTTGAAAAGAGGGGGGAGGGACGTGACCCCCCTGCCCTCACCCCTGTTCCTACGCCCATGCTTGCAATTAGAACAGAAACAGAAACCAGAAGCTACCACGAAATTTATTTTATTTGCGTTTTGAAGTCAATAACCTGCAGAAATCAGGCATTGAGCGACTGCATGAAATAAATCTACGGCGCTCTTAATTTACGCCGATTCAGTGCTCTATTCTTTAACCGATGAAGTCCAGAAGCTTTGTCAGATCTTTTACATGAGTTTTACAGCCACATTAAGGATCCCGCGGATGTAGATTGGAAATTGAGATGTGAAAAAAATGTGCAATAATAAGGCAAAGCCGTGTTTGCATGGAAATTTCAACATGCAGTCATGATCGATTAGCGGTGCAAGTTATGTAACTTGCTATTTAACATGCGCGCTCGCAAATCTTCGCAACAAAAACCTCGACTCCAGGCATTGCAGTCTCCGTGGGCCATGCGACGTCGGCTCCAGCAGCCAATACTGAGCCGTGGCCAACCTGTGGACAACAATGATGACGCTCCTGAGGAAAACATTTTTGTACGCTTTAGAGTATCAAACATTACATTAAGAAGGTAGTCTGGGCGTGTATTTCACATACACGATTTTTAGACTGATGATAAGATAGGATTGACCCTTACGGCACGGCGATGTGAGCTGGAATCTGGTGGTGAAAATGGAAGGGTAATGGTAAAATCATTATTTTTGGTGCTTCTGTAACTGCTATTCGGTCAGATTTACCATGGCGCCCGCCTCCTGGAGTCAGTTGCAGTGGCCAACGCCTTTCGGTTTTGATGTAGTTTGTTTCACTAATCGATTCTGCAAAATCATAAATGTATTCCGGCAAACTTGGAGTGTCTTTTTTCGTTTTGAACTCATTTAGACCCTCTCTATTCAAAAATAGGGAGACTCCTTCTTTTCTTCCATGCAACGGGCCCCTTGAGAAGAACACTTGGGACACATTACTGCTCCCCTCAGCGGCTGAAGGGTCATTCCGTCCCATCGCGGTGTGTCCGCCGGCTGCCATTCAGATAACACGGGGCGGGATCCCCTGGTCGATTCGGAGGGATGCATCACATCAGTTTGTTCTCCTGCCTGACACAGGAGGCCTTCTGATCCGCGCACGTGGCCCCGGATCAACGCAGGAGTTGTTATTGACGCAAAGTTTCTCTGATCGCCGCAGGTGGTCAATAATCTTCACACAGACTCCAGTTTCCTGTTCTTCAGAGATATTGACCACCCCTGAACGTGGACTGTAAGTCGAAATGGGGCCCCAAATTGGTAATGACACGGGTAGCTCATGTTTGTCTTAAAATGTTTTACATTCAGTCGGGATGAAGTACTGAAAAATAATTATGAACATGGGTGCTCACAAATCTTAGCAACATCCTCGACACCCGGCGTTGCAGTCTCCATAGACGGCACGGCGTCGGCCTTGCTGCTGTGACACTATGCGATGGCTAATGGGTAAACGAAAATGACGACGCATCTTCAGTAAAATGACTGTTGAGCTAGGTAAATCGGCATGCATGTTTGTAGTGGTACAAAAGTAAGCTAAACACAATCTAAACTTGAAAAGTGGGGAAGGGCAGTTAGCATTGCTGGCCCCCATCTTGAAAAGTAGGGGGGAATTAGCCCACTATCTCCCCCCTCCCGTTCCACCACCCATGCGTGCAATCTGCTCATCTCGCCCAGCATCGTTGCTTTTTGATCCCCGAGCTCCCTTTAAGAACTCTTACGACTAAGCTGCCTTTCCACCGCGTACCCGCATTGGCGTATGTTGTTTGCGTTGGGTATTTCGTGGACCTAGCAGCCCAGCAAAAAAGTTTCTCGCATTTGGAACATTTGCAGGAGATTTCCTTCACGAGCAGTGGTTTGGACCTACAGCAAGCTATACGCTTACCTACACCTGCTCGCACAATCATGGTACCAGGTACATGGATCCAAGTTTGAAAACTCGCATCCGCCCCGCAAGGAAAGTTTTCCCCAAAAGCCTGCAACGTCCACCAAATTTGTCATGCCATGCATGCGTACTTACCCTTAAATACTTCTTGGTGGTAAAATAAGAAGCTGTAAGGAGCCTACAAACATATTCGTTCCCTCACCTGTGCTTTTTTCACAGCTAGCATTAAGAGACTCCATTGCTCATTCCTTATGCACGTGTCTAATTTCATCACAATACAAAGGTACCACAAGAAGCCATGCATCTAAAAACAAACGTTCCTTCACCTGTTTTATAAGCTAACACTGCGTGCAGTTGTTTATCTTATTGATTTCAAAATTTGAAACTATTGCTAAAATTGAAGAAGCTGCCGAAAAACTAACACATGCAATCCAATTGACCTCAGGCATAAAATCCTCTCCCTCAAGGACAAAATCCTGTCAGCCCTTTAGAAGACTCCTCAAAAGAAACCAGCTATCCATGCATCGAGAGAAAGTAAATCAAACAGCTACAACCGATATAAGAGTGCAAAAACCAAAAGTGACCTTGCGTTAACGACATTCGCGACAGAACATGACTTGCTCTATGATGGAGAGCGGCGGAACCTGGTCCTTATTGCTTCCCCACGCCGATTGTGTTGCAGGGAGTACCAATGCCTTTAGCGGGAGGGGGCGGGGGAGGTGAGTAATTTGTTTGTTAATTTCTGACACTTGACCCCGGCCGCGATTGACACGTCTCTTTCAGAAATCATGAAGAATGACGTCGTACTGGATTTGTTCAGACCAAGGGCGTCAGCGCGTCGGACATAATCATTTCGAATCCATAATCGATATTTGATTATAAGCAACACACGCCACACAGACAAAACACAATGGTCGAACAATACACATCGCTCAGTAATGCTCATTACAAATGCGCTTGTCATTTTCTATGCCAACGCCGAACTGGCCAGGCAACGTCAGAACGATCACGTCAGACGATCAGACGTCAGAACTGACCACGTCAGACGACCAGACTTCAGAACTGACCACATCAGATCACCAGACGTCAGAACTGACCACGTCAGATCACCAGACTTCAGAACTGACCACGTCAGATCACCAGACGTCAGAACTGACCACGTCAGACGACCAGACTTCAGAACTGACCACGTCAGATCACCAGACGGTCAGATCACCAGACGTCAGAACTGACCACGTCAGATCACCAGACGTCAGAACTGACCACGTCAGATCACCAGACGTCAGAACTGACCACGTCAGATCACCAGACGTCAGAACTGACCGCGTGAGACGACCAGACTTCAGAACTGACCACGTCAGATCACCAGACGTCAGAACTGACCACGTCAGATCACCAGCGTCAGAACTGACCACGTCAGATCATCAGCGTCAGAACTGACCACGTCAGACGACCAGACTTCAGAACTGACCACGTCAGATCACCAGACGTCAGAACTGACCACGTCAGAGCTGACAAGTCAGAGCTGACCAAGTCAGAACTGACTGAGCTGGTTGGTGACCGGCTTTATATCTCATTTCATAAAGCTCCATCAGCAGCCCTTTTGGTCGAAGGACACTTGCCACACCTTTCCTTTTGCGCAGCATATTTGAGCATGGCTGATAGGATTATATCAACGCTAGTTATGCGCTTAAACGATCGTCTGTCGAGGAAGAATCTGACTACCCATTTCAAGTCAACGTAACCTTTTCGTTCCGTGGGAGCTTAAAATAGTATGAAATCCATGGTCAAATGATACAGTGAAACGACCCGATACTATCAACGAAAATTGGTCTCGTTTATCTTGCATAGACTATAGCACGAGACGTTTGCAAGCTTTTGAAAAATAGCGTGGCCTGGCATATGCGAACAAGAGACCATGCAGCATGGCTCGTTGGCACTGACAGGAGTCGCATTCCCATATATGTGTGGGGGGAAATTGATCTTACGCGGCATTCTCAAAATTTATTTCAACTGCTGGAAGTACAGACCAGTTTGTTATGACGAACACTGATTAGGCAGAGTGTAGAGCAAGCAAGAATACACAGGAGTTGGCACGCTTAAGACAGATTAGGTATGTGCCCACAGGATGTCACGTGATACATTATGAACAGGTCACCAACAGTGGTGTGCTAAGGTGGCGTTCCCACCAGTTCAAATACATTTTTTATTCACGTCTCTTGTTCAGTACGTCTTAAGTTTTCCCGAATGCATTGTGATCCTGAGGAGGATATTGGAGATCACAGCTTCAACATCGAGTACACACCCAGGAGACCTTTCCGGATTTGGCTCACTTTCCCCCCGAAGTGTGTGGCGGGGGGGGAGGGGTGCGGACCTCCACTGGACAGGAGCTCATACACCTGCCCGCCACCCTGGCTGCGGCTGATTTCTTAACCGGCATAGCGGTGGCTCATGGGAGCTGATGGCTGATGCTGTGAGTTCACGCGCTGCAGCAGCTACTGCAGGTCCTCGGCCCAGCGGTAGCCGGCCTCGTAGCTCCAGCTGCGGTCGTACCTGACCAGTCGTACGTCCATGCCGGCGCTGTCGCAGCAGCTGCGCGGACCGTGAAAGTTGATGGTGATCGGGGACGGGTCAGTTGCGTCCAGGAACGCATTCGGTCTACTGGCTCTGTACACGCGGATCCGGCCGGGCTCGAAGCGGATTCGGAACTTGCGCAGCTCACTCCGGCTGACAATACCTGACATTTTTTTGGAGGCCAGAGTCGCCCAGCCGACGCCGGGAGTGTGGCGCTGCACCCTGCTGTACTGGTTGCCCCAGCCTCCGATGACGATGCTGTACATGTGCGAGTGGTCCCAGATGACGGTGTCGCTGGCGAGCCAGTTGCAGTCGTTGGAGGCGCGGCAGTCGAACGTCACCGAGAAGGTCTGCTCCGTCGCGCGGCGGAACAACGTGGAATACCTGACGGCGACGGAGGTAAGGTTATGAAATGGCGCGACCTATTTCAAGGTTCAGAAGCCCTGTCTGTCGATGCTTTGGTCGCAGAAGCACTCGCTGCAGACATCAAAGCGATTCCAGACGCACCAAAGCTCAGATTCACCAACCCTCTGGTTCCAAATGATCCTTTGCAGGTCTAGGCATGGACGCGTTAGATCTTGATTTGGGCCGAGTCGTTTGGATGAAGATGCTGCGCAGTGCTGCTCCTAGCATGTAAATCTCGCGAAATTCGAAGCTGGTTGCCCGCTCTGATGAAGCATGAGTGTCCATTTATGTTTTCAATTCATATTTACGATGTACGCTGTAATTTTTCGCGCGAGTAAGCTCGCCGATGGCACTACATCACAAATTTCTGAAATCGCTTGCGCGGTATTGCCCCAAAGACAAGAAATCATTAGGTTCACCACATGGTTGGAACAACCCTTCGCACTGCGCCTTTTAGCAGTTTGTGGGTTAGCGTTCTGAGCAGCCTCACCTGGGTATGGTGTAGACGCGGTCATCGGACCAGTCTCCCATCCAGAGGTCCACCATGTCCTTTGTAAAGCGCCACCGTCCCTGCAGCGCGGTGGAGATGCCGATGTAGCCGGGCGAGAAGCGCTCTGGGTCATCCCAGCTGATGTAGGTGTCGATTCCCGGCCTGTAGAAGCGTATCTGGCCGCTGCACCAGTGCAGGCCGTACCTGCGGTAGTTGTTGCCGTCCAGCAGATCACCTGAGTAGGAGGCGAAGGTGTCACTCCTGACACCCTCCTGAATCCTCTCGGCGTAGGTGGCGCTGTTGCCATTGTAGCCAATGCGAAAGTGGTAGCGGTTGGAGTAATGCGTGTTGGACTCGGTGAGCACAAACCGTAGATCGTCAGTGGCCTGCGCGTCGAATTCCATGGAACAGATCCCGTTGACCAGCTCCTTGAACACCCAGTGTTCGCCGTCGGTGGTGAGCTCGATGTTGGTCTTCTCGCAGAGTGTGGTGTTGTACTTCCAGCTTGCGGAGTCGCAGACACACTGGCTGGACGAGCACTGTGTGCCGCCAGTGACGTGGTACCGGCACTGGTTGTGCTCCCGACACGGCTCATCCAGCCTGCGCAGGCAGATGTCGTCCCGGCAGCGGCCACCGTCCGTGCAGATGCTGTCAGTCCACAGCTGGCTTTTGGACTCCTGGGACGGGTCGGAGACAACGTCGTACCAGATCCAGCCGTCAGTGCTGGTGATGTAGTAGCTGTGGTGGTCGCAGACGGTGACGGTGAAGATCTCGCAGACGGCGTCCACCCGGTGGTGGTTGAAGCTGCGGCAGTCGCCGCGCTGCAGGCAGACCAGCTGACACTGGGCGGCCGAAATGCCCGGGACCGTCTCGGCGACGGAGACGCCCGTCAGGCGGCGGTTCTGACCGCGGCGGGACGAGGCCCAGTGGCCGTGAGCCGGGCTCGCCAAGGCCAGGACGAGCGCCGCTAGCGATACGGAGCGCATGGTGTCAGCGTCCCCGCTGTCTGCCCAGAAATGGAGGAGCGATCGAAGTCCCGTCCACGCGCTTCGCTCGTTAATCTTTCAACAATAATCAATGTGGCTGCTTCCCCATGGCAGTGGCTGCCATAGGGAGGACGTGAATTGGCCCCGGTTTCCTCGGTATATGGTATGTTGTAGTCTGCTGTGGTCAGGCTCGGGCCTGTCAGCATGAAATAATTAATAATCGTGGCAATGTTCCGCCATGTTTTGCTGAGTTTTGCCTCCACGGCTGACGCGAGTGATGCGCATGAGCAGGGTGCAACGGGAGCGTACGCACGATCAGCGCCTGCGGCCGTCGGATGGCGCATCTCCCGCTGGGCTGTTGACAGCAGCAGCGGCGCCGCTCGCTGCTGGCCCGGCCGCGGACGCGTGTCGCCTACCTCCGGTGGCGGGCGCCGAGCCGTGACCCTGGGCCACGCCGGGCGGCGTCGTCTGCCTGCAGCGGCGGGCGCCGAGCCGTGACCTCGGGCCGCACCGGCCGCAGCACACTGCGCCGACCCGGCCGGCCCCGGTTGTAGGCCGGGGGGTCGCGGGAAAATGCGACCCGCGATTCCCTGCGGGCCGCTGTCGTTCTAGCACGATGCCGTTGGCATCGAAAGGGTCAGAATTCTTGCGAAGTGGGTATCAGTGTTTGCTGGAATGCTCAATGAAAGTTTAACACGTTATTCAGATGCAAGTTTGGTGCGGGTCACTTGGGACCGGAGCTGCATATAGGTGACCTCACGCAACCAAAGCTCAAGACAGGGGGCTGCGTTGTGGCGCTTCCAACCCCACGCTTGAACATCACAAACATTGAACATTATACACCTTATTGCACATACGTATGCATACTCGATGCCGGGCCGCAGATGAAGAGGTTATGCCGTGTGGTCATTCGCCGAGTTTGCCCCGTTTCGAGGCTAACTTGGCGGACACCTCCGGGTTAGAAGAGTTTGACGCTTATCGATGGCGTTCCCCATCGCTTGTGTTTCAGTGTGCGGTAGACCAAGCTGAGCTTGTGCAATAATATTGACGAGCTGAGCTCGCCCTCTTCCCGATGTCTGGGGCGGAGCGCACTGCCACTGCGGCATTCAGACGTGCCTCGTGTTGTCTCGGGGGGCTGCCGAAGCAGGCACCGGGGCCGGCTGGGTCTGCATTTAGACAAGCTGCACCTTGTGAATAAGATTTGACGGAATAAGTAGTGCGTAGTGAATTTCACGGACACGAGTTTCATTTTTTGGCAACATTCCAGCACGAAATTCGAACTTAAGCCTCCCAGCCAACGAAACTAATAGAAACCGTACCCTGTCCATGGTGTCACAGCTTCACGCCCAGCTCAGGTCAACCTCGGATTACATGGGACGGGACGGCAAGGCCTGTTTACCGTTCTACGCTTGCGGGCTAAAAATGTAACAGCTGCAGATGGTGGCACGTTTTCATCAGCAATAATCTCGTTATGCATATATCCTAAATATATTAAGGTTTTTTGTGCCAGCAGACATGCAATATGATGTGTGGCAAAATATCATTTTGGACATAGTTATTATTGGAATAAGGTAACCTAGGCAGCCTTAGTCCGTCGCGCAGGCAAGGGGAGACAAAGCAGTATGTGCCCTCCCCCTTTGTTAGGTCCCGAGGGGCTCGGAGGGCCCCTGAGAACTGGCGATAAAGGCCCCGATTTTAGGGTCAGAGGGGATGACCGGAAGTCGCAGAGGCCCCAGCCTGTAGGACTGGGTCCTCATGCAAGCCAGAGGACCTTGCCTTGTCGGACATTTAAAATACCACGCAAGATGTTGCTTGTCTGTGTTGGAAGTTTTGTCCTTGTTCTTCCCAATGGAACGACAATAGGCCTGTTTTGCTGCGATTTTCCACCGATCGGCAAAACCGTGCTGCCAGTCCTAGATCATGAAGATGATGCCAGTTGATAATATTACTGATGCGTCATGATGAAGACAAATAAAACGCGGTGTCTCATATCTTATCAGGTTTGCATAAGCCATCGAGCTTGTGACCCCCCTCCAGTCACGCCATAGATGTGTGAGGCGCCGCCGGGGAACGGCGTGACCTGGACTGGGCGTGGGTAGTCACTGCAATGGAACCTTGATTTGACGTTTTCACATTCGTAGGAGAAAACATTGTTCTTGGAATTACTCCCGGCCAAGACATATCAGATCGCGATCAGATCAGATCAGATCAGATCAAATCAGATCAGATCAAGACATGTCAGAATCTGCAGAAGGCTGTGCAGGCGGTCTCTTAAACTTAGGCAGTTGTAGCTCCGGCAAAATTTTCCCAAGCCTGCTTACAGAGACATGTTGTCACCACATACTCAAACTTGTATTTGGATTCCTGATTACCGTGGTCGGGTGGTAACTGTCGCCTGTCTCCGGCCCATTCGGCCCTAGTTTTTCAGCTAAAACCTGTGGGACGAGTACTCGAGTAATTGGTGTGACGTATGTACATAGATGGGTATGTGTGTGTATATATGGATATGTAGACACGACATCCAGTTGTATGGCCCGGTCAGGTCCATTTTCAAGCACCGGCCATGATTTTACGAATGCATTTTACCGATCAGACCCGCTGGCGACTTCTTGCCAGCGCGTAGTCCGCAATCCACCCGCAGTGTGGTAGGCAGTAGTTTTATAATGTTTGCACCCCACCTGTGGTGCATTTTCAGGCGGGAACGCTTACACCATTCGGCATTTCAATGTAAACATCTTACACAACGGCGCGTTTTGTTGGTCAGAAATAAGCTATGATTTTTTTTTTGAAAAGTTTTCTTATCCTCCATTATATTCGGGAGTGGTCATTGTATTTAGTCACAAGATCGATCCAAACATTTTCGAGAATTTTTTTAGTTACACTTATCGTATTTCTCCTTTCTTTTGTGTTCAGTCGGAGCGGTTTGTACACAAGCAACAGGAACGAAACGCCTCGGCAAGTTTCGAACATTGCCATCAATACTGATTTCGCTGGATACGACGCAGCTCCGGCGATTGTGGCAGATTATGGTGGAAGACCTCACGCAGCACGAACCGGCGAAGTTCGCCCACCTCACATTGCATTGCATTGCAGCTTTGTCACATTGCCTTGTGTTGCTGTCTGGCTTTGGCTGTAGAATCGGCAGCCATGCACGCAACCAGTGAGAACTTGGCTTTATCTGTCATGAACTTGGCTTTATCTGCGAGCACCCTGATTGGTGCCGTAGTCCCCAGTCCCTGCTATTACACGAAGCGCATGCGTTAGACGGACTGCTCAGTCATGAACTCTTGGCAACAGAGTGACGTCTTCAGAGCGTTGATAAGGTCCTCAACACACTCCCCCTGGAGTGCTGCGCCCACGCCTGTCTGATTCAGGGCTCGCTCAGTCGTGGCTACAGTCCTTTCGGTCAACAATGATCATCTGAAAGCTATGGAAAGGGGACTGGCTGAGTGTTGGACAGGACCGCATGCATCTGAGAGTCAGATTTATGCCATCTGCTACTGAGACTTGCTCCGTGCGGGTACCTTGTTTGGGACAGTAAGCGCACCATCAGGCGTGTTTCCCGCCAAGGTGGACAGTAAGCGGATGATCAGGCGTGTTTCCCGCCAAGGTGGACAGAAAGCGGACGATCAGGCGTGCTTCCCGCCAAGGTGGACAGTGGGCGCATGATCGGGCGTGTTTCCCGCCAAGGTGGACAATGGACGGAATATCGGGCGTGTTTCCCGCCAAGGTGGACAATAAGTGAATGATCAGACGTGTTTCCCGCCAAGGTGGGCAGTGGGCGGATGATCAGACGTGTTCCCCGCCAAGGTGGACAGTGGGCGGATGATCGGGCGTGTTTCTCGCCAAGGTGGACAGTGGGCGGATGATCGGGCGTGTTTCCCGCCAAGGTGGACAATAAGTGAATGATCAGACGTGTTTCCCGCCAAGGTGGGCAGTGGGCGGATGATCAGACGTGTTCCCCGCCAAGGTGGACAGTGGGCGGATGATCGGGCGTGTTTCCCGCCAAGGTGGACAGTGGGCGGATGATCGGGCGTGTTTCCCTCCAAGGTGGACAGTGAGCGGGTGATCGGCAGGCAGGGAATGCTGGGAACGCATATACACCTGCATTCCCGGTGCCCCCCCCCCCCCTCTTTCCCTCGAGCAGATGTCCGGGCTCGGGCGGCCTCTCCAGCTGCAGCGAGGGAGGACTCCGGCCCCACCTGACGCACCCAGTCGTCCCCGCCAGATGGCGGCATCGTGGAGACGGTCTGGCCCTGATTGGTTGTTGGACACGTCGCTAGATGGCAGGTTAGGTCGGCACAGGTGGCTAATGCTTTTGGCCTAATGCGGCATGCCCTGTGACAGATCGGTACTTCAAGTAATTTGTACCCGAAGCCAACGGACCTTTTGTTTTTTGGGGACCAACGGGCCCAATTTTGTGAACTTGCATGGGTCCCACAGCACTATCTCTGTGGATTTCATAACTGTCATGCTTTTGTCGATTACATGACATCCATGCACGTACATGTAAGGTGGCCACGCGCCGCATCTCCATGTCTGGGGCCAAGCATATCAATATTGCGAATGGCCGTTGGCATTGATGTGCAGCGAAGATCACGACCTACCTGCAATGCTGTAGCAACACTACTGATTTGACCATATTAACACTGGAATTAGAGTCGACTGCACTCTGACTCTGAGTGAGATAGTTGACTACACTCTGACTGGTTTCAACACGGTTTTAGTCGAGTCCATACCACATTGACTCAGTAAGCCTTTGAATGATTCCGGTGTCTGCGCTGAGTCATCTGGGTCCGGAGTTCTCCGAGAGTCAATCAACTAGTTGACTCAGGTCCCTGGCTTTTGTTGGCTTAGTGGACTCAGGTGTCTGACTTAAGTCAGGATAGTTGACTCAGGTATCTGACCTAGGCTAGCCTGGCTGACTCAGGTCTTTAAGTTATTGACAACAACATCGATTTATCATTTTGGATCCGTTAATTGCGTGGAGAGTTTGCAGTTAAAGTATGTTTGTA